TTTATGTAATTATTATTATATTTCTGTACCACCCATCGCCATCGCTCTCTGGGCAGTTTACAACAATAATCAGAATCATCCACTCAGGTCACCCATCCTGATTCTAACCAGACCTGACTCTGTTTAGCTTCCAAGATTAGGCAGGGTTAGGCATTCCAGGCTGTATGGAAGCTTTATGTAGACCCCCGTCTCCAGGCTGGATGTTATGGCATCTCACAGCTTGGGCCTGTGAAGGAAGAGTATTGGACACAGGGGATAAGGAGGGAGAACAATCATCATAATTTTAACTTAATTGAGTAACTCTGCTGGGAGACATAGTTGATGCATTCGCTGCACTGCCAAAACAAACCTTATGTGATTTTGGGTTGTGTTTTCTGTTCTTCAAGTGCCTCAGGAATAATGCTATGGGAACTTTCAAAACAGAGCTGTCCTTAGCTTCTTATCAAAGTATTATAGTTTTCCTTAATCAACAGTTTGGCGGGTGAGGGGTGAGCTCTTTGCTTCTTGCTGTTAAAGCAATATCTAAGCTTAAGCCCCGGAACTTGTTGGCAGCAGGATCCATAGCTGGGTTGTGATGGGAGATACTGATGCAGGTTTGGCTTTTTTAGTATTTTATAGCTATATTAGATTTCAGGGGTTATCGGGAGAACTTGGTTTGGACCTTTTCTGTACAACATTTTTTCTTTTCAATGGAGCCACACACTTAAGCATTGTTAATAATGATGCATCTATATAAAACCATTCTGAATTTGAACATATTCTGAAAAAAATATTTGTTTCTATAATTGTTTAAAACCTTATACTTACTCTAAATGCATATAAGAATCTATATATATTTACAGTTTTATCTTTTTCCAATACACAATCTCTGATTAATTCAGCATATTGCAACCCCAAGAAAAGTGACACAGCCTTGTAATATTTGTGCTGGATTTCTGACAGGACACAACTTCAAGGAAATTCTTTTTCATTCATTGGCATTTATTGGCATGCATTGATTGGCTTTTCTTCTAGCATTATTTTGTATAGGCATTTTCTACTTCCATCCTCTCCTTTTCAATATTCTTTTTTGCAATTCAAAAGTCTGAATCTATAAAACCATCAACTTTGTTCCTATATTTTTTCCTTTTATTATCATTGCTGCAAGATGAACAGCAATTACTTTAATGCTTTCTGCATTCTTTAACTCATTTTCCCACTTTATCTTCAAGCACTTTGTTACTTTTGGAATCAGTTGTTACACAACCATATAAACCATGCTCTCATTGCTGATGCAGAGACATCTTGTCTCTCTGGATTTGATGCAAAACTCTTTCTTTAATCTTTCTATGTATTCAGCCAGATCTTCACCTTTCTATCACGTGGACTTAAAAAAAAAAAAAAAACTAGTCATGCTTAAGTTAAAGGAGCATAAACAGTCATAAGGGAATCTGCCTTTACAGACACTCCAGGCCAAATCCTTCGCTGGAGCTTCATGTGGGTCACATCATTTTCTGAGGACAAAAAAGTCCCTTTTGTATGTGGCCAGCTGTGAGAATGACAGGCTATGCCAGCAAATTGTTTTATATTTTTAAAAATTCTGTGTTTTAGGTGAACACTAACAATATTTATTTATTTTTTGTTTACTTAAAATTTCTATATGCCATCCCAATACTAACAGTCTCTGGATGGCTTACAAAAAACAAACAACCAAACCAGAAAACCCAAGAAGAAAGCAATCATAATTATGATAATTTATGATGATAAATATAATCCAATTGGGATCAGGTGCCGCCATCATCATACAAAGCAAATTTTATACATTTAGCTTTTTGTAGTTATTACAAAAATTATTGTAATTATTAGCAGAAATGTCATAGCAGGGAACATTACTCAATAAAAGCAGGACACATCGATCAAAAAGGGAAAACATAATCACCAGAAAACATTCAGTTACATTTTGTACATGGTTTTCTTGACCTACACTTCCTTTTAGGACATTTAGTGTCAAAACATCTGCCTCCAAGCTTCTCTTTACAAATTCTAACCCTCTGGACAGAGATTTATTTTATATTTTCGACTCCCTTATGTCCCTCTGATAGAAACTTAGTAACTGACTCTTGCTGTTTGGTCATCAGGAACCAAATGGTCCTGTTTGGTCATTGTTCATTATGAACCCAAACCACATTAAGCATTATAGGTTAAAACCAGCACCCTAACCACAAACGACCCATGAAGAGAAGCCATGGCTTATTGTTTGGTTGTGAACTGTGGGTTGCTGAGCTTGGTTAATTATCTTGGCTGGTGTGTGCTCACCTTCAGGAAGGGTCCACTGACCCCCCCCCCCCGCCCCTATTCCAAAGCCTCCATACTCACAAGACTCTAAAGGGATGCACTCGGCAGCCTTTACCTTTTGTTGTGGCACTGAGATTCAGCCAGCTTGGAGGCTTCCTGCTCAGGGCAGGGCCTCACACCTCCCTCTTAATTCTCCCAGGCTTTAAATCACCAAATGTCCAGCACAGCTCGATGCACCTGGCCTTCCAGTAGCACTCCTTCCCTGGCTCCAGGTGCCAGGAATTGTCTGCCCCTGCCGAAGTGTCCCCAGGCCTAGCTGCACCTGACGCTTATCAGCGACTTCCGCAAAGGATGCGATGCCCAGGTGTGGAGGTGCCTGCAGCTCCTCTGCCCCTTCTTGCTGTGGCATTCCAGGCTCCCCATCAAAGGAAACCCAAGTGTAAGGGGGACACTCGTCCCCTTTGTGTTTTAGCATGAAGCGTTTTCCTGTCCTTCTCCAACCCCTCTTCCCTCCTGCTTTCCACTTACTGCCTCCCAGATGTCACAGCCTCCTCCCGGGGAGGCTCAGCTGTGCTGCTGAGTTTCCCCAGCTGTGCTAGGCTACCTTTATTGGCTCGAGGCCTGTCCAATAAATTTCACATTTATCTTCAGGTCTAGCTACTTGTGTTTCTCAGCCAGAGCATGAGAATGACTTGACCCAGTGGGTGCTGGCAGCCTGTTGCACCTGGATTCAGATACAACAATACTCCACGTTTCAACAACGACCCACCGTTGATGCCAACCTATATGCTCAGCCTGTGAACTTGGGTTGTTGTGCATCTGAATCCAAGTCTTTGTGATCTTGTTCCCTGCAGCTTCCCTGCATCCATCATTGGCAACCTATTGAAACTGTGATTGGTTCTGCAGTGATGTCAGGTTGAGGATGACCTGAACATTAGGAGTTGCTTAAAAAGTGTGCATCATCATCATTGCTGCCGCTGCCACCACCACCAAGGAGGGTACTATCTTGCACATGCTCATTTATATGTACAGATACATATTTAGACATTTCTGTAATTCAATTAAATATACAGTTAAGTTTCACTGTAGTTTGGAAGACTCTGACCTGTGAACTTTGTTCACTCTGTTGCTTCAGATGCTGTTAACAGATAACTCCAAAGTCCAGCTGTTCTTTCTGCTGGTTCTTAATCTTTCAACAGGACTTGGACTGGATCTTCCTTGACTATAGGGTGCCTTCTTCAGCTGGAAACCTGTTCTGTGTAAAAAAGACTTGTGGTCTCTCTTCAGTCAGGCCATAGGCCTGCCTTCCCAAACATGGTATCCTCTAGGTGTGTTGACTCAGACTCCCATCTTACCTGGCCCCCGTTATGTTTGCTTATTGGCTCCCTGTGCCCTCTCCCAGGAACTGTTAGTCAGTTTTACTGCCTCCGAATGTGGTGGATCCATTTACCCATCATGACTCATAGCCAATATGTGAACTTCTGTGCTGGTTTAGAGAACAGCCCCTCTTGTGATGCCTGAAAGGGGGGCTGCAGCGGCATCTCCACATTCGCCACCCTTCTGTAGTTCACCAGGTGGCTTTCCCCCCTAGGTGCAGGATTCCAAGCAGGAGGAAGGAAGAAAGAAAGGAAGGCTCCAGGATCACCAGAGTGCCTCCTTTCCCCCGTTCTGGAATTGCTTTCCTGATCTTGGCGAGCGGCCGGGCGTTCTTTCTATGCTGGCTGCAAAGGGTCAGGAGTGGGGAGCTCCGGTTCCAAGCTCAGTAGCCAGAGCACCGTTTCTGACCTTGGATTTGGGAATCAAAAATGCTCTGATGCTGTCTAGGGGCTATCAGGCTCCTCCTCCGCTGTTTTTTTACATGCTGTGCTGTGTTGCCTTGTGCAAGCCACCTTGCAGTTCATTGAGATGGAAAGGTGGCATGGAACTTAAATAAACACATTAAACATAATATAATAAAGGAGGAAGATATGTGACCTTATTAAAAGCATTATGCCCAGAAGGTCAAAGGATGCTGATGTAGGTCCTGGAAGCCTCGACATAAAGATGGTGTTTTGTGCATAGAACTATTTATTTTTATTTTTATACTTTTTACTTTTTTACTTTGGAAGTCACGTCAGGAGTATAGAGATAATGCGCATGGTGTTATCTGAACACTTACAAAGAGCAGTGGAAGTGCTAAGTGTTAATGCTAATAATGATTGAGCCTCATGGGAAAATCCTTTCAACTTGAAATATTTTGCCTCTGTTCAAACATGCTGTATGTAGGTGTCTTTCCCTTTGTGGAAACTGCGCTGACTGTTGAATTCTTGCCAGCTGATGGTTCAAGGAACTGAGTTTAAAGGACTTGAGTTCAAATTCTGATTGACTCTATGGGAATGATTTTACAGTCTTAGAAAGCTGCATCCTGAACTGATGCTCCGTTCCTGACTTTGGAGGTCCATACTTATTTAGGAGGGATGGAGAAAGAGGGAAAGGGAGGGAGGAAGAAGAAGGAAGGGAAGGACAGTCTGTGCGCACATGGAGGTACACGCATCATGTGTCTTTTTGTACATCCTAGGGCACAGCCCTGCACTGAAGACAGTGTGCTCAGCCTAAGTTCTGATGAGTTCAGACTCAAACAGACCCCGGCAGCTTTCACTGCTTCCAACTGCCTGGGAATTCCTCCTTGGAATGCAGTCCGTGTGACCATCAGTCTGGAAATGGGCCTGCATCAGTCCTCCTGGTCCTATGACCCGGGATCCTTCTCTGCTCATGAAAACAAACTGTCCGTCTTTTACAACCACGCAACCCTGTCACAATCTGAAAGGTCTCTTTGTCCATCTTAGAGCACAGGCTGTCTCCTTCTGGGCTGAGATCACAGGCACCGGTTCTGCTGCCGCCCCACGTAATGTAACGTCATTGCTGTCGCTGTTCCAGCCCCCCGGATTGCCTGTTTCCTCCGAGGGAAATGGAATTACTGGCGTTGGCAGCAGAGGCGTCTCAGGTACGGGGCCAGGTGTGGAATTCTTGGGAGAGCAGCAGGAATGGAGCTTTATTACAAGATTTGTCTTGATCCAGTTCTGAGCAGTGGTGGGAACAGCCAAGGAGTCTTCCACCTCCTTTTTGCAGAAAAGAGCCCTGATCAGCAGGCAGCCAACTCAGTGACATATTGTTGGCATTCCCATGCTGCAAAGGGGTTCAAGGTACAGGCAAAAAAGTAAGGAAGAAACAACCCAGGAATGAAAAAAAACCATGGTTGTTCCGATCATGAGCCAGACAATCCATGGGTAGGTGAATAAATCATGGTGTAAATAAACCATGGGTTAGCATTATATGTGGGTGCAACCAATTTCCTACTCGCTGCATCCTCAGTTCAACCATAACCTCTTTGGTAACCCAACACAAGCCACTTTCTTATATTTTCACTTAGTAAGAACAGCTTAACTTACAGGATTGTTGTAAGAATTAGGGAGAAAAACTAGGGAAAGCACTCTGTTATATTATTTGTTGATTGTATTAGTCAATTTAAAAGCTGCCCTTCTGTAAGAGGGACCCTCAGTCCAGTGTGCCCTTTAAAACAGCCACAGTAGAGAGTCAGTATGGTGTAGTGGTTAGAGTCTTGGACCAGAACTGCATGCACCTCTGGGATCAAAGGCAACATGCTTGTGTCCCATGGCTGGGAAATGTGGCAGGAAGGTGTCATTGCCCACGTGTCAGATTTGTGCCATCCCACTGGGACATCTGGTTGGCTGCTGTCTGGGTAGAGTGCTGCTCTGACCCGGATGCCTCTTATTATCTTAGGACTGAGAAGACCGGGGTCTTACTGGGTGGCTTTTGGCCTAACCTACCTCCTAGGGTTGTTGTGGGCCTAATATGGGGAGGAGGAGGGTCATATACACTGCCTTAGGCACCCTGACGGAAAGTCAGAACACAAATGTAAAAAATATATAAATTCCGAAAATAATAATAAATAACCACGGAGCCATAGAGTCCACAGCAATGGAGTACGTAGTGGTTTTTTGTGTTGCCCTTTTCCTGCAAGTGTTCCTTTTATTTCCAGAGTTGCGTGGCTTTTGAGGACGTGGCTGTGTACTTCACGGAGAGCCAGTGGGCTCTGCTGGGTCCACCTGAAAAGGCTCTGTACTGGGACGTCATGCAAGAGAATTACGAAAACTTGTCCTCTTTGGGTGAGAGTTCTCTTGATCATCCTTGGATGGAAAAGGTCCTGCTTTCCCCACACACTTTTGACGTTCCCTCTCTTTTACTCTAAGCCATCGAGAGAATCCATTTGGATTAGTGAGCAGCATACAAATTTAAAATAAGATAAAATAAAAGCTGGATCTGACCGAAGGCCTGCCCAGTCCAGCATCCTGCTTCTGCTGCTGAGCAGGCACCTGGCTCTGGCAGCCCCCAGGTAGGCAGGCAGGGAGGACAAGAGCTCTTTCTGGCTGCAGTGCTCCAGAGAGTGGCTCACAAAGACTGGCAGCATCTGGTGCTGGGATGGCCAGTGGAATGGTTATGTTGGCTTATCATTTCCCATCATTTCATGCCCTGTGGCCTGCCTTGTGGATCACGTTGATGGAGGTGCAGCATGTGGCATGAAATAAAGTAAACCTAAGGGAAGAAGTTGTGCAGCTCAAGTGTTATTATCATAGAATCATAGAATAGTAGAGTTGGAAGGGGCCATGAAGGCCATCAAGTCTGACCCTCTGCTGTTACAGGATGCCCCCAGAGGCTGTCTTGTCCCAAGCTGCAGCCTTTCATGCTGCAACTCCCAGAACTTTCAGCCAGCCAGCCAGCATGGCCAATCCTGGCTGGGAGTTCTGGCAGTTGTAGTCCAACATACCTGGATGGCTCCAGCATGATGAAGGCTGGTGTAAAGTGCTTCTTCCACTCGAGGCCGCTTTTTTTCTGCATTGCGCCAGTGTGCAGGTGGGCTTCAGAATTACAGAGGCGATGCACACAGAGTTACCTCGGCAGTGGGAAAGAGCAAGATCAGTTCTCCTTGCACCCAGCACACCTAGTCCAGAAGGGTCTTGTTTTCTGAAGCACCAACCAGATGCTTCTGGGAAGCCCACAGGCCAGAAGGGAAGGGAGCAGCCCTTCCTGCCTGGAATTCAGCAAGAGCCAGGATGGTCAGCCACATCTTGCCAGAACCCAGGATTTGCATATTTGAATACGTTGAGGAGAAATAATGCCATGAGTTTAAATAGTAATGCAGTATATCTCACCATAGCCAAAGTCTTGTGCCTGCTCGCATTTCAGAGCCAAAATTTCACTCAACTGGTTGTGTTTCTTTTCATCTGAACAGGATTTCCGGTTGCAAAGCCCAGCTTGATCTCCCAGCTTGAGCAAGAGGAAGACCCCTGGATTTCTGATGATCATGAAGTTGAGCCAGACCCAGGTGGGGAAAGAGCAACCCAACCCTTGGGAAGCTCATATTACAGCACTAAGCTGTATTCCCCAACCAGGTGCCCTTCAGATGTGTCAGACCTCAATTCCCATCCTCCTCAACCGGCGTGGCCAGTGCAAGTGGAAGCCCAACACATCTGCAAAGCACCATTTGGGGAAGGCTGCACAGAAACCTGGGAATGTTTGCAAAATCCAGTTTAGTTTGGTTCTTCCCTTTTTTGGAGTGATTAAAAGTTCCTTCTAACTTTTTTCTCCTTTTCTGCAAACAGAATTTCCTGATGTGATAATAAAGCTGGAAGAGGAGGAAGCCTCATGGGTCCTGGACCACCAGAGGTGTGAGGACAGTACGGCCTTTCCAGGTACTAGCTCAAGCAAGGGGTAGGATTGGGGGCCAGGGGATGATCGTAAAATAAAGGGCCAGAGTGAAAAAGAAACGCCAACAAGAGGGTAACAGATTCCTGCAGCAGGCAAGCCATAACAAAGCAACAAACAAATGCAATAAGAGACATCAGAAAACAGTAAAGCTAGTAAAGTAAATAAAAAGAATCGAAGTTAAAGAGAAAAGCAGGAAGGTAAGAGATCTTTATGGCAGGCATAAAATAATATAATAGAACAAACGTGCAGTGGGTCTGTTCACACAACATCCCCCCTCCACCCCGTGGTTTACTGACCCACGGTGATGCTGCATATGCCGGGGAAGGGGGCAGCAGCTGCCACTTCGAACATGCGGTCCTTGTGGGCTCCGCGAGAATCAAGCAGCCTCGCACAACCCTTGGGGTCCGTGGTGGGTTGGCACAACACAACAGCCCACAAGCAGACATTGGAACTGCACCCCCCCGCCTCTCCTTCCCAGAAGTTGCGCAACCCACTGCCCTCTTTCTCTTTCCGGGGATTGCTGCTTGCTTGCTGTAACGCTTTGTCACTCCACCAGTTTCTCTGATCCCCAAGCCATGATGAGCAACAACGGGTGGGCAGCTCGGTGGAAATGCCAGCCCGAGGTGCAGCTGCTGTGAAAAGGCAAGCTCCTGGCTGGACTGAGTTAGGCAAGGAACTGCAAATGAGGCCGCCAGTCCTGTGCTGCTGCTCCACACCTCCCTGGCGTGACTGTGCTGCTCCACACCTCCCTGGCGTGACATAGCAGGCACAGCGCTGGTAATTGAACCGCCAATGGGATATTGCGGGGCTGGAAAAGGGGCAACTAGCATGACCCAGGGGCTGGAGCAATTTCCCTGCGAGGAAAGGCTACCACCGCTGGGGTGGTTCGATGGAGAAAAGGCATGCGTGAGAAGTGACGTGACAGAGGCGTGCAAAATTATGCCTGGTGTGGGCAAAATGGACAGGGAGACATTTTTCTCCTGCTTTGATAACACTGGAACTCAAAGGGGTCACCCCATGAAGCTGATCGGCGGGAGACTCCAGGCAGATGAAAGAAAGAACTTCTTGGCGCGGCGCAGAATTGAACTGTGCCACTCACTCCCACGAGAAGTAGTGGCAGCCGCCAGTTTGGAAGGATTTAAAAGGGGATTGCATGCATGCATGAAGGGGGAGACTGCCCATGACCACTAGTCCTGTGTTGCCTCCAATATAAGAGGCTGGGGAGCATGGGTGGGAAGGTGCTGTTGTGCTTATATCTGACTTTGTGGGTTTCCCGTGGACAGCTGGTTGGCCACTTGGTAGAAGGCGGCTGGAAAAGAAGGATCCTTAGCAGGGCTCTTTTTATCTGTTTATGGTCTTATCTGAACTTGGTGGGAAGTATCACAAGATTAAGTAAGAGATGCCCTGAGAGTAAATAAAATGAAGAACCAGGGTAAAGACAAACTAACCAGTACAGTCAGAAATAGCTGTGGCAAGGAAGCAATAAAATTCGGCCTCTTAAATAGGATGGCTTTGATATGGAAGACCAGCCTGGAAAGGGTAAGATGGAATCTCTTTATGGAAGGAGTTCCAGAGCCTGGATCCCAACCAGGCAGAGGTTGGAATGGAACAGCGGGGCTGCAGAGTTAATAAGTGGGGACATGGTGCAGTTGAGCGTGCGGCCAAGGCGGTCTGGCTCATCCAACCGTCTCAGGGAGGAGTTGCCCTGAGGCCCGCCGTGCTGCAAACAAAGAGTTAAAGGGCTTTCAACATCACTGAAGTTTTGCCTTAATAAGTGTGCAGAACAGCTCACTTGTTATGTGTGCAAAATCCACATGTTCTGCTTCAAAATAGCACTTTTCTGTGGAGGCAGCCTTTTCGTCAGCACAGAAATGGCAGCAAAATGTGCCTCGGACAGCCCAGCCTCTCTTGCTGCCTTGGAAGGCCACTGTGCAGGATGCGTGTCCAGAAGTGTTGTCGGCTGTTGCAGGAGTGTCACAGCTCTGCCCCTCATGGGTCATGCCTCTATACTGCAGAGGGAGAAAACCTTGTGTGCCTTGCGTTCTTCTGAAGCTTTTACCAGGTTTTTTCCTCCCTTTTGCCATGTGAAGGCCATGTTTTCTCTTCTCACTACTTTGACCATGTTTCCATCCCAGGAAGCATAGATAATGTGCCCTCTTTTTGCATCTAAAAAGGGAAAGAGGACATCCATTCCTGCATACCCTGTACTAGGCTGCCCTTTCCACCCTGTGCACCCATGGGATGCCCCTGTGCCCTGTTCTCACACAGATTCTCCTCATCTGGGTGCAGTCTCCCATCTGGAGAAGCCATGGATCTGTGCATCACATGGCCTTGGAAGAAAAGGGCTATTCCTCCTCTTTCCCATTTTTCTTTCCCCCTGCACAGCAGTCAGTCAGCATTCTGTGCCCACTGAGCATGCCCAGCCCACATTTGGCTGTTTCACATTCCCTCCCACCCTCCGCTTCACACTCTGCCCCTTGAAGGATAGTTTGTGCTTCTGCAAACCTTGAGATTTTGTTTACACCATCCTCTTGTGTGTTCCTGGTGGCTACATAGGGATCTACACTTGGAAAGTGGGTTATATTTTATTTATACATTCATGAATTGCCTTTTGACTAAACTAGGGGCCCGGGCTGACTTATAATTTACAACAGTTAAAAAAAGCTTCCCTCTCTCCAATTCTGAATTCTGGGGTGATCTCCCAGCTGGAAAATCTGGAAGAGCCATGATTCCTGGTCAGTTGGGCATGGTAGAAGAAAGGGACCTCCCACCCAGAATGGTGCTCAGGTGAAGGATCTGAAAAGCCAAATGATCAGTAACCCTCAGCTCTTGACCAATCCCTGGCTGGCTAGTGGCACACTACTTCCAACACAAGATATTAGAATATCCGATCTGACTGCCTCGTTTCACCTCCCTTTTCTTGATCCAGGTTTTCCTGACGTTGCATTAAAGCAAGAGCAGGAAGAGGAGCTGTGGGCCCTCAATCCCCAAGGAGACGAGGAAAATGCAGATATTGCCACTGATCACACAGGTGAGGAACCTCTTCATCTAATTTTTGGTTCACAACCCAGAATTTTAAAGGCTTCACTTGACTTAGTTGTATCTTCTCGCACCACAATTCTTGCCATAGCTGTCTCTTTCTGGGTTTTTGGGATAGTCTTTGGACTGGTACCAAGTCATTCTGTTGGTCCATCTTGCTTAGTGTTGTCTTCCTCATGGCTAGGCAGGCAGTGCGCTGCTATCAAGTAGCAATGGGCACCTTGCTTAGCATCCAGCAAGTTTTCAGCTACACCTTCCATGACGGTATTTTGTCGTGGTGCCCCAGACGGTTCCTCTAATTGCTAAATCACTGATGACACAAAGGGTTTGCGCCGGAGTTTGCAGGCTACACAAACAAAGGCAGAAGGTTGCTCCCCACCCTCCCGTTTTTCTGCTCATTAGAATCGCCATGGTCTGAATGTATGTAGATTTAGCTGCAGATGCCTGTTATTTTTTTCTCACCTTTAAGTGCCTACTGTCTCCCTGAATAATGTGCATAAAATAAATACAGCTCTGCTCTTCAGGATTGTTCACACTCTCTGCAGAAGTTGTTTTGCTCCAAGGCAGGTCACCGGGAGGTTCAGAGGCAGTGGGACATTTTGCATGGGCAGGTAGCCCATTGTGGCTTCCTGAAGCTTAAATCAGCCACAGTAGGAGGGTGCTGCGTGCAGTCAGCTGTTTTGAACTGGCCATGGCTTGTTATGTCAGGTGAGCCAAGAGACAGTGAGTTAGGCCAGGACTAAACAAGTCTATACATAATTAATTTTAATAATGGTAGAATGTTCTGTTATATATTAACATAAAGAGATTTGTAACTTAGATGTAGTTAGTGCTATGAATCTTTTTACATTTTATTAAAAAAGGTAATGTCTCAGTTTTGCTCATTTTCTTTCTCTGTATTTTTATTGATGTGGTTAGGGTTTTTTAATGTACAATAAAAAAATTAATACAGTAAGTCCTCAGGTTACAAATGTCCAGGTTATGAATATCCGTACTTATGAATGAGCTGCCACAAAGCCTATCAATTTAAACATTTGAGTTAAAGACAAACGGTTCGTAGTAAACAAGTATGGGAACTTTTGGAGTTTTGTGGCCTACAGCAGAAAACTGCCATGACCAAAGACAAGAGGAAGAGAAGGGGATGGGGGACGGGGCTCTCCCATTTCTTCCCAGCCCATCCTGAGAGGGAAACCCTTTTAACATTTCCTGGTGCAAAGAGGAGGCACTGGTGAGTGAAAGGGAAGTGGGGGAATAAGAACACAAGAATGTAATAAATGAAGAAGAGCGCTGGTGGATCAGACCAAGGTCTGAGAGAGAGCAGATGGGAGAAGCAATCTAGGAAATCTATGGTCAACAGTATAAAGGGTTAAGGTTTGGTGTGGGGGGAGATATTAATGGTTTTTCCACTTTTGTGCGGGGTCCCATGCACTTAACCCCTGTGAATGCTGCTTTCACTTAACCACCATGGATGTAGAGAGCTGACTATATATGGAAGCTTTTATTACATGTTTTATATGCATAGAAAGGTAAAATATATCCATATACTAATCCAATTTGCATATGATGTATGCGATCCAACTTATATACAAGTTTGACTTAAAGATGTTCCCAAGAATGGAGCTTGTTTATAACCTGGGGACTGCCTGTAGTAATTTTAAAATCCTGGCATAACCCATGGTCTGTAGTTTAACCCTTACATAATCCACAGTCCCTGGGTTCACATGACATGACAAACCACACCCAGGTATTGAATAGGCAGATCCCACCTTGCACTCGCCCCCCATGTTTAATCATGCCAACCAGGTTGAGAGAGAGACTTGTACTCTTCTGACTCTCCCTGGCATGTGTCTTCGTCTCAGCCAGGTACCACTTGTGAAAACACCAGAGGACTCCAGCTCTTTTGAAGTAGGGGACAGCAAAGCGAAACGTGTAATTTCATGGCATTATATTGTACTGTATAGCATTGTTTTTACACACTGTTGTAAACCACCCAGAAAGCTTCAAAGTGGTATAGGAATTAAAAGAAAGACAATGCAAGGGTGTTGATCTGGAGATCAGCTGAGCCACTACCTGAGGAGAGCTTCTGTCCAGAAGTGTCTATATTCTCTAAACTCTCAGAAGACACTCAGCAAGGAAGTGGACATGGTCATCTGGAAGCCAGGAGTGTCAGTCAAAGTCTTAGCACTTCCATTTCCCATCTGGCTCCTAAGGCTCAGAACTTGCCCAAAGTTGTGGGCAGCTGGGGCTGGCTATTTATGCAGTCTGTTCATTCCGCATCTACTGCAGATTGCTGATTTCTGAGTCTCTCGCCTGTATACCAGTTTAGTAGCAATACCCCAAAATATTAATTTGGTAAAGCTTAGCAAATTAACCTTGACTTTCTTTTCCACATGTCTGTTTTTGTTTTTAAACAGGATTTCCTGGTATAATAGTAAAACTGGAATTAAAGGAGGAGATGTGGACCCCAGATTTCCAGATATCTGAGGAAAATGCAACGTTTTCAGGCATCCAGTCAGGTGAGGGACTGGTTTGGATGTATCGTGGATATAAAAATCTGCTTAGTATCAATTGCTCCCTGCTGCTTTTCAAGTCACTAAGAAGAGCCAAAAATATTTGTCTTAAGAAAGAGTCCATGATTTCTGGTTTCAGCTTTTGACTGTTACTTCCTGGGGTTACCGTGATTTCTCAAGATCCCCTCAGCTGTTCACCCCAGTCAGTGTTTCTTCACTGCTTATCTTATTTTGTCTTCTTACTGAGCAAGCTACGTTAAACTCTCACCTTCAGTTAATCTCAGAGATGTGCAATTTTTCACAGGAATCTGCATTTTATATTATATTGGTATTATATTTCTGCTAACATTTGATAGGTGAATTAACTATTCCCATTTTACCTTATGTTTACAAAACTGGTAAATGGGTGTTTTTCTCATTGTTTATTATTTATTCCTGAATCATCATCTTCCATCACTGCCAAGGGATAATGGGGGATGCTTTTGAACACCACGGCATGACAATTCCACTTTATCACCAACCAGCAGAAAGAGGAACCCTCATGAGAACCCAGTTTGCACTTGCCGAAGAATACAGAGGGTGCCTGGAACAAAACTAGGAAAAAACACATTCCTCAGGTCCTTTTTTCGTTTGGCCCGTCATGCAGATGCAGGGTGATGTTCAAGCCTGCACTTTTGTGGGATAAATCTCACTCGTCTTGCACTGTCTGTGCTGGCCCCAGACTTCGGAGGGCCCTTGGTAGAATTCAGGGGTTCTCCTGCCTCAACAGGGCCCCGGGCACCAGTAGCATTTGCTCTTTCTCATTATTGCTGCCAGTGGCTTGCTTGATGGGCAGAGAGCCTAGAAGCAAGCCAGCCATGACACCTGCTGTTCCTCCTCTGCACCAGTACCACTGTTGCCCAGGCCAGAGTGGAAAGCAGGAGAACAGGCAGGTGGCCGTGGGAAGAGGAGGGCCAAGTCCAGCGGACTTTTGTCAGAGGGTCTTTGCTGGGTGTAGCCCTCAGCATCCCAATTCCATTGCATGCTCCAGCAGAGTCTTGAATGGTACTGAGTTTATTGACTAAACCAATAACGTGTTGATGCTCTCAAGGGTCTTTTGTGATGCATTTGCTAGGTACTTTAGAGATCCGAACTCCAAGGATGAGGAAGGTCCTGTTGAGGTGTCCAGTGCATCAAAAAATGTATGCCATTTTGTGGGATCAATTTCAGGTTGTGTGGATAAGACACTTCCAGTGATGCAGCTGATCAAGTGCCCCTGGGACCCTTCCTTGTCATGATTCATTAGATCTAGCCAGAGAGGGTCCAGGGAGCAGAAGCATCTTTGCTGAAAGAGGTAATGCCTGCAGCATTTAAAGTTGGTGGGATGGTTTCTTGACCGTAGAAGTTTGCTTGGTCATGATGTGGAGGAGGGTCTTCTCAGTTGTGGCATCCACCATATGGAATGATTCCCCTCACTGCGATCAGGCAGGCCACTAGATTGGAGCATTTTCTCCAACAACAGAAGACATTTGTGTTTGTACAGACAAATTCCTGACTACTAGTGTTGTCGACTACCTGTAGTTATTTTGAGAATTTGGATTGATTTTATTTTATTTGAATTATTATCATTTCCCACGTGTAAAGCATTTTGGGATTTATCTTAAAAATGAAAAGTTGTATATAATTATTTTAAAATAAATAAATTAAAATGTTTCTTGATGCTGGCCCATTCAGCATTGAACTTCCAGTAGAAACAGGAAGTGCCAATGATACTGCATTGAGAATGGGAGCTCTTAGTATGAAGTTCCCACTGTTTTCCTCTGTAGCAGAGTCTCTCTCTCTCTCTGTATGTATATATTTGGAGTGCTCGTAACACACATTAGTGTTTGGTTAGTACATTCCTTGTAACTTAAGTCTTTGTTTATTCAAACAGGCAATGGGTGTACAAAAGGGGATGACTACATTTCACTAGAAAGCAATAATCAAGTGGCAACAGAAAAGACAGCACTAGGAATTCTGAAAGGGGCTAGAGCCTCCCAGGATCCAAAGAGGGAAGAGGTCTCTGTGAATGAAGATGGAACAAGGCAACAAGGAAATGCCTTAGGGCAGAGAGTGAGAAAGACTTTATTTTGTGAGGAAGGTGACATCAAAGAAACCAAACTACAAAACAGAATTCATAAGTCCGGAAGAATACTTCAGAAAAGAGAGGAACCATATAAACATTTAGATGGCGAGAAGAGAACTGGTTGGAGACACTACCTGATGGTCCATGGGAAGAAACACACAGGAGAAAAATTGTATGCATGCTCAGTCTGTGGGAAAAAATTCTTTCGAAGGTCCCATCTTATTAGACACAAAATAAATCACACAGGTGAGAAACCATATACATGCACAGTCTGCAGGAAAAACTTCAGTCAAAGATCTCATCTTATTAGTCACGAAAGAACCCATACAGGGGAAAAACCATTTCAGTGTTCTGTCTGTGGTAAGAATCTGAGTCGCAAAACACTCCTAATTAGACATGAGAGAATTCATACAGGAGAGAAACCATATAATTGCTCTGTCTGTAGTAAAAGCTTTAGCCAGAGCTCTGGCCTTATTGCCCACAAGATCACCCATTCGGGAGAAAAACCATATGTATGTTCAGTCTGCGGGAAAAGGTTCAGTCGCAAAGCAAGCCTTATTAGACATGAAAGGATTCATATGGGAGAGAAACCATATACGTGTCCTGTCTGTGGCAAAAACTTCAGCCAGTGCTCTGGCCTACTTCAGCATGAAAGAATTCATACAGGAGAAATTCCATATAAATGCTCAATCTGTGGGAAGAGCTTCAGTCGTAAAGATTGCCTTCTGGGACATAAAGGAATCCATACAGGAGAAAAACCATATACATGCTCGGTCTGTGGGAAAAGCTTCAACTGGAAAAGTTACCTGGCTGTCCACGAGAGAAGCCATAATGAAGAAAAATTGTATATATGCTCAATCTGTGGGAAAAGCTTCAACCAAAGATCAAATCTCCTTAGTCATGAAAAAACCCACACACAGGAAAAAACTTATACATGCTCCATCTGTGGTAAAAGCTTCATTCACAAAGTCAGCCTTATTAGACATGAACGAGTCCATACTGGAGAGACACCATATAAATGCTCTGTCTGTGGGAAAGGTTGCAGTGGGAGAACTAACCTTATTTCACATGAAAGAACCCACACAGAGGAAAGACCTTACACATGTTCTTTCTGTGGTAAAAGCTTCAAGCAAAGATCAAACCTTACCAGCCATGAAAGAATTCATACTGGAGAAACTCCCTATACTTGTTCAGTCTGTGGGAAAAGCTTCAGCTGTAAAGCAAATCTTCTTGGACATGTGAGAACACATACTGGGGAGAAACCATATTCATGCTCTGTTTGTGGGAAAAGCTTTGGTAATAAATCACAAGTAGTTATTCATGAGAGAATTCATACAGGGGAAAAACCATATACCTGTTCAATATGTGGGAAAAGATTCAAACACAGAACAAGCTATACCGAGCACCAGAAAATACATACACAGGAAAAGCCATTCACATGCTTGGTGTGTGGTAGAAGCTTTAGTCGTAAGGAGCACCTGATTATCCATGGGAGAATCCACACAGGAGAAAAACCATATTCGTGCTCAGTCTGTGGGAAAAGCTTCAAGCAAAAATCAAGCCTTACTTCACATGAGAGAAGTCACACAGGAGAGAAGCCACATACGTGCTCGGTCTGTGGGAAAAGTTTCAATCGAAGGTCAAACCTCATTCATCACGAGAGAATTCATACAGGAGAAAAACCACATCCATGTGAAGTCTGTGGCAAAAGTTTCAGGAGCAAAGCATACCTGAGGAGGCATGAAAAAATCCATGCAAGATAGAGATTCCACGTAAAAGTGGGTTTGTGCCTACAATGAAAACCACAGTTGGTAAGAATAAGTAAACAAAATTATTCCAGCAGAGAAAATATTTAAATAATATTTGCATCTAAACAACAGTGTAGATCTATGAGAATTAGTTTCTGCAAGTCTTAGGTTCACCTGTGCATCCCACTGCTCTCTCCCAGTATTGCTGAAAGGAGGTGATCAGAAGCATTTGATTCCATTTTCCTCCAAAAGTGGTTACTTTTCTGTCTGAACCAAGTTAACTATGATTAGTGTTAACAATGGCTTAGGCAAGTGTAGGCAACCTTTTGCCCTAGATATTTTGGACTACATTTCCCATAAACTCCAGCTAGTATGCTCAGTGACTAGGGATTAGGGGACTTGTAAACCAAAACATCTTGTTTAGAGGAACAAGCCAGAAACTTAAATCATAGTTTGAAGTTAGGTTGTTTCCTTAATACATTGTTGCAACTAACTGTAGTTTGTTAAAACTGATATAGGTTGTCAAGGTTCAAACAAGACTCTGGTCAACTGAAAGTAGTGCCAGAGGGAAATGGGGTGTAAAATCGTAGATCAGTGCATGTAACACAGTGCCACAAATCAGCACTAATGTGCAAACCAGGCCAATGAGTATGGAAAAACTTAGGCCTAAGAGTTCCTAAATTTTCCTGTATAAGGATGAATTAGAAGGTAAGGGCTCAGACTTTGATTTAAAGAATTAAGTCACAGCTGGATGTGTTTTGGGAAACATTGGAGCATTAATTCTGAATTAAATGTTAAAAACATCAAGGTTTGTACGAGTAACAAAATGTTCAGAATGAGTTCAACTGTTCATCTCATATTCCGGAGATACACTACGTTGTGAAAAAAACTTCCTTTACAGATTTTATTTAAGCATCAGAGGGGGAAAATACAGGACACTGGAGAAGTAAAGGCTGAATGATGCAGAAATCCCAACCTTATACAGAAATTATATACACCATAATAAAGTGCAGCATTTTCTTCTCACTGGTCTATGGTAGCAAACCTACAGTGCTATGTATCATGCATTTCTTTATGACCAGCATTTGTGGGTCACAAAGAGCCTTGTTCTACCATGTAATATTCACTCTTCCAATTTCAAATCTAACTTCTGACCCTTTTTATTCATACTAAATTCTAGGTTTTTAAAATTATCAATATTGTGCTCCTATGTAAGGTGTATAAAAGAATATTTGTTTGGCTGCAGCTGTTTTGAAGTCTCTTATGTAATTTATTAAATAAAGTATTTGATAATTATATATCTTGTGATATAGTCATGATACATTTATTTATGAATCAAAGGTTTTTTCATCTGTGATAAGGGAAGCAAAGAGTGAGAGGGTGTTTTCTTTTTATTCCCAATTACCTCCTGGGGACCAAAGATGTGATGTCTCAAATCAGTGAGTGGGTCCCTCAGTCTTTGGGTCATTTGGCAATTGATTCTGCAGATGAGTGTATAAATGGCTTTAGATTCTTACAACTGAAAAGCTTTCCTTTACATATGTGGTAATTCAATTACCACACTGGCTTTTATTTTGTTTTTTATTTAATTATTGCATGCATTAAATGTTGTAGAAGACAAGTTGCTTGAGGCATTTCACAATTGCAGAATACAAGTAAAATCACAATAAAATGATGCTACAAAACTAATAAACATACAAAAAGAGAAAGCCGACCCTAGAGTAAAATACAATTTCACATTGTAGAGACTAATAAAAAACAGTATTTGTTGTACATCCCAGAGCTGAGAATGAGGAGACAACTGGAGAAGTGGCTTAGCTGCCCAAGAGTTTGAGGGGGTTACCCATCCCGTGTGGTTTTTTAACAAGGTCAATCTTCACTGTGTGTTTTAGCTGTTTTACATTTTTAACAAGTGTTTGATTTTATGATATATTTATTGTATTTTATTGTCTTGTTTTTATGGATTGTTGTATAAAACAGAGAACTTCAGCTATGGGGCCATACAGAGATATATAAATACATAATTTTAAAAAAAAAATCCTGTGGCCCCTAGACAGCATTCAGAGGACCCTGGATTCCTCAGAGGCCCAGGGCCAAGGTCAGAAAACAACTCCAACTGTTGACCGGAGGCTCTTTTCTTCCCTTGCACTTGCAAGCAGCACTGAAAGAACTGTACCAGCTGCATCTTCAAGGTTGTAAGAGCAACTTTGGAGAAGGGGTGAAGAGGATGTTCGGGTATGGAGGAGAAGAGCCTGGGTCTGCCAGGACACAACTTATCCTGGCGGTGTCCCAGCCTCCTTCCTTCCTGGTCCAAGTGAGCCGGTGAGGTGGCTCGCTTGTTCGGAGATCTCGCAGTGAGTCCAAAAGCATCTCCGAGTGAGCAAGCCACCAGCCCCTGCAGCGAACTGGGGCGTGGGCTGGATGGATGGCCATTAGTGAGCCAGATCCATCCCGTGGGCTGTAGTTTGAGGACCCATGTTTTAAATGGAAGAATTTTGCACAACTCCTGTGTTGCATTGCCTTACTGTAAGGCTATGTATGTGCAGCATTTACTGAAATAAATGCATATCTTTTCTGTTTACATCTGCTTCTATTCCACCCCACCCCCCGCTGTTCTAGGAGCCAATGAAGCAGCATTAGCATATACTGTGGTCCAACTTTGACCTGGTTTGCAAGGATCATGGGATGCCCCGCAGTTATTTAAGTGCTGCTGCCCTTCCACCCCTCCCAAATAAGCCCTAGGTTTGGATGATATAACAAGCCACACTGACAAATATGATAAGAGAAATCAGCCGGCATGCATGGCAGATTAGCAAGGCACCGTGTCTTATTCCTCCTGATGCGATCATGTGAACTGGCCTTATTTGTCTGCCTAACAGTGGCCTGGCCCTCCCTTGAGTCAGCCTGCTCTAAGCCTTCCCCAATCTGTAACTTTCCAGATGTTTTGAACTAAATGCCATCATGGCTAGCCATTAGACATGCTGGTAGAGGTTGATGGGATTTGTAGTCCAAAACATCAGGAAGGTGTCAGACTGAGGGGGATGCTTTAGGGGTGCCAGGCTGAGAAGCGACTGCTCCACTATCCTGGACTCTTCACTGGAGATGCTCATGGAATCTTTGCCATGTAATATGGTTGCCCGTCACTGAGCCAAGGCAAGGTATGTGTATGTGAACAAGGTATGTGAACTCAATCGAAGTTGAGTTGTGAATCCCTCAGGGCACCGACTTGTACTCTTTTGCTCTGTAAAGCACTCGGATGGGACTACATAAATCAACCTTCCCCAGTGTGGCACCTTCCAAAAGTGTTGGATTACAGTTCCAATCATCCACAAGCCACCAGGCCAGGGATAGGGATGATGGGATTTATAATCCCACACTGCTGAAGGGCATCAGGCTGGGAAAGGCTAGAGTTAATTAACAATATGCTTTATAGCATGTGCTTCATTAATGCAGCAAACCACTCTATGCTCCTTCTGAAGGAACTGCAGGGTATAAGAATTTTAAATAAAGAAATAGCAAGAATAGTCAGCTTCCTACCTAGGCCAACTTGGAAATCCAAGCACACCTTAACAATAGGGAAGAAGGAAAACCTGCACAGGGTTTGCGAAGGACTTTCCTTCCTAGTAAATCCTGACTTTAATAATAATATCTTTATTGCATTTCTAGACCTCCCAGTAGCCGAGGCTCGCTGGGCGGTTCGAAGCCATTCATAAAGAGCTACAGTACCCGCACCCCTGCAAATAGCCGCGTACACACGGTTCCATCCATGCGCTCAGGCAGCGGACTAGCTGGTTTGCGCTCCTCTTGCCAGGAGTCTGGTTTAGCTTCAGTCACATGATGGGAAGTGGAAAACTAGTTTGCCACAAAAAAAAAAAAAAAAAAAAAAAAAAAAAAGAAGGGCAAGAAAGAAAGGAAAAAAAGAAAAGAAAAGAAAAGCGGTGCAACCTAAAACGGGGACACTTCTAAAATATCAACCTGTCTCGAATCGAAACAAAAAGAAAGCATCGGCTGCTGGAAGTTGGGAAGGTAAAAGAGGAGGCCGAGTAAGGATTCATGGTGCAAAGATTTGGGTAGAAAACAAAGGTCCAGCAAAAAGAACCAGAAGGGGAGAGGTGGTTATGGGGAGGAGGGGGGGGATATCCGAGCGATGCTTGGGCAGAGGTGCAAATGAGCAGGGTGTCTGCTGGTAAGGATAAGGAGAAACGGAGGTTACAGCCACTGGGCGCCTCTAGGTAAACAGGTGCTGCAGGTATTTCTTCGAAAGTCTGCATGATCTCTTTATCAGAGGTGAACGAGGTGTGTGAATTGGGTTGCGTGTGCTCGTCAGGAACAGCAGTCCATCTCCTACAAACTGCCTTTAACTCTCTTGCGGGGCCTGTCCATCGGCCCAGATCAATGAAACGGGATCAAAGCCGGGATCGGTTCAAAAGGAAGGGGCTCGATGTGCTACCTTGTTGTATCTCCCTCTCCCCCATCCCGCAGTTTCCCTGAATTTTTTGAGCACTGTTGGGCCTCAGTTTAAAGCCATGGAGGGAAACGTGTGTGTGTGTGTGTGTGTGTGTGTGTGTGTGTGTGTGTGTGTGTGTGAGAGAGAGAGAGAGAGAGAGAGAGAGAGAGAGAGAGAGAGAGAGAGAGAGAGAGAGAGAATGAACTGCCTGACAGCCTGTATTGGCCTGGAGGGTCCCCCATCCAGGATGCTAGAAACCTTTAAAGAAAGATTCCAGATGCCTTGGACACGATCTCCCACAATCCCTACTCACTGGCCCTTCTGTCTGGGGCTGATGGAAGGTGCTGTCCAAAACAACCAATGAGCAATTTGTGGCTTCTAGATATTGTGGACTACCACTCCTATCAGACCAACACATCTGGGAGGCCACAAGTTGTCCAACCTGCCTTAAAGGGTCTGAGGTTTCCAAAGTGGTGTCTGTGGACACCAGAATGTTCTCAGACACCCTTTTTGGCTTGCCAGGCTCCCCACCCCACTCATTTTTTATTCTATTTACATGTTTTTTTTTAATTAAAAAAACTGACTGGCTGCCATCCTGCAAGCAAAAAGGTGCCTTCCAGCACTATCACTGAGTTTTAAACAATGTGTTTGTGTTTTGTGTCAGATCCCACCTCTTTCTACACTTTCTGCACAACTTTTCTTTTAGTCTTACCAACCTGCCTTCTAGGAAATCAGTGTTTTGTGAGCAGCCATACCCAGAATAATGGACATTTTATACAGCCCTGCTCCACCTTGAGGGCCCTTGCCACTAGTCCTTAAATTTAGGAGTTGCCGAAAGCCATTCTGTTACGCTCTGCCAGGCTTTCTGAGCAACTGCTCTCTGTGTTTCCTATATTTCCCCTAAGCAAAGCTATATTAGGAGCATTGCAGGAAATTATAAGAGTAGCTAGAAGAAGAAAAGTAGTGCGGGCACAGAACAGACAACAAAGGACAGCCCCCCCTGGATGCAGCAGCCTTGGGACAGCAGATGCTGACTTAGACCTGAGCTTAGAGGTGGGTGTGCATATTTGGAATTGTGAGTGTGCTCATAAAATGGCTGCCATGAAGGGGCTTCCCCTTCACAAAATGGCCACCATGGTGGGCATCACCCATGGCAACATGCCAATTTCAAAGAAGGCAAACAGGTGAAACAAACCAACCAACCAAAAAAACAAAACAAAAACAAAAACCCTTGCTTAAGAGGCTAAGCATCAAAACAGGAAGCCATTGTTTGAATTATAGATTTTCTGCCCAAATAGCCATTTCACAGAAGACAAACAAGTAATACTCAAAGAAATGCACACTGTAGGCAAAACACCTCTCTGTTAGCCCTCCTGTCCCTCATGTTCCCTACAACTTCCCTGGGCTCCCAAGTACGCATCTACTCAAGATTTTTTATCGTCTAAAAATGTCCCTAGGGCTCATGGAAGGCCTAAAACATTCTCAGAAATGAAGATGGTGCTGGAGGCCAGCACTTTAGTTTGCATCATGCCAGGCTCCCAGCTAAACAAAAAAACAGGAGGGGTAGGGAGCCAGGTGCCAATCTATTCTGGAACAGGATGAAAACAGAATCAATGTCTGTTTCCATCCTTTCAATTAACCATAGGGCAAAGGGAGGAAGCAGTAAAAATACCTCACCACCCACCCCATGCTGATCAGTTGCCCTCATCTCTGGCCCTGAAATTCAGCATGCTTTAAAAAATTTTTTAGCCTGTTTGTGTGGCTCTGGGTGCATCCCAAAGCCTTGCTCATAAATAAATAAATTTCAGCACAGATTTTGAAGATAAAGGCAGAACACATAATCAATATACACATTTCAAAATGTGAGCGAGAGGAGTGATGGTAGACATGTACAAAGTTATGCATAGAGTGGAAATGTGGGTAAGGAGTCATTTTTCTCCTTCTCTTGTCATATTAGAACCCAATGATTGGTGGGAGATTCAGGACTAGTAACAGGAAAGACTTATTCTCACATTGCACAGTTTCCTTAATGGGATTTACTTCCATGTGATGCAGAGATGGCCACCAGTTTCAACAGCTTTAAAGGGGGACTGGGCAAATTCCTGGAGGAGAAGGCTACCCAAGACTACTAGTCCTAATGGTTCTATGCTATCTCCAGGATCAGAGTCAATATTTATTTATTAGATTTATATCCCACTTTTTTCTTATAACAAACTCAAAGTGGCTAATGTCATTCTCCTCCTCCTGCTCTCAATCTTATCCCCACAACAACAGCCCTGTGAGGTAGGTTGGGCTGTGAGTCTGAGCCCAGGGTCACCCAGTTGGCTCCATGGCTGAGCGGGGACTAGAACCTGTGCTCTTAACCACTACACCACACATATGTCTATGCATGCCAGTTGCTGGGGAGCATGGGTGAAAGGGTGCTGCTGTACACATGTCTTACTTGTGGGCTTCCCATGGACACTGGAGTGGCCACTGTGTGAACAAAGCTGAACTAAATGGAACTCTGTCTGACCCAGCATAGCTGTTACGCTCTTAATGCTCTCCTCACAAAAAGAGGAGGACTAATTGTAGCCATAATATCTTTTATGGCTCTTTGTGTGTGTTTTAAAAAACTTTGTGAACTGCCCCAGAATCAGTTTTGACCAAGGGTGGTGTTAAAGTGTTTCAGAGAGCAATCGACCGATTGATCAATAGATAGGACTGTGCTTGCAAAAAACTGGCTGTCCATAGGTATTATGAACAAATGATAACTCTTTGATAGTTAGCAGGTAATAAAAACAACTGCAAGGGTGGCAGAAATGTGGGAGAATGATCCCAAACTGCAGGGTCACAGCTTTGTTTCTGAAGTGAGAGGGACTGGGCCTTAAGCCTATACAGAGACTACATCCCCACTACCACTAGTCCAGAAGACTTCTTCACTAATCCTGGCTCTGTTGAACCTGATCATGTTTATTGAATGGAAAGAGATACTCTGCACATGCTTAGGAGCACTCCAGTCATGTTTATTACTTCATACAATCCAAGGTGCTGGCTTTAGATGTTAATACAGATGCTCGTGTTTAATGGCAGAATGACCTCTCCCACTTTTTCACCACTTTCCGGAAGCCTGAAAACATGATAGCCCATGACCAGCTCTTCTTACCAATCTAATGTATATTTAGTGTTGGCAGTTTTAGGGGCTGCTGTTTTAGGGACTGGATGTTAATTAACTATATAAATTATGAGTTTATATGGGGTTTTTTGGATTGCTCTTACACACGCCTCAGCCAGCAACACAGTTTAAAGTGCTTGCTTCTAACTCTAGAGAAGCAGCTTTGGAAAGGAATTAGTTCAACGTATGCCTTCTCTGTTTTGCACAGACGAGAAGAGTTGAGTTTCATCATACGGTTCTTTCCCCCTAGATTATGAACATTGTCATTTTATTCACATGCCTCATTCTTGCTTTCTCATTGCCCATTTCAGATTGCAAATGATCTTCCTTTCCCTGGGTGGAGAACACGGTGCTGGCGGAAGCTCTGTTTAACGTCATCCCAGCCATCCTTCCTTCTTCAAAGGCTGTGGAATAACATTCAGGATCGCCACTGGATGGCCAGTTCCTTGGAAAATTAAAATGGCTGCAACAGAGTTGTCTCAGGTATGGGGATGGCATCATGACCAGCCTAAGATACATGCTGCCCAAGATGGTGTATCAATCGCAACCAGGGTGCAAAACACCCCAGGCCAGGCGATTTATTTTGTCACCAGAGGCATAAAAGTTCATCTCTGTCCCTCACTAGGAGTAAAAATCTAACAACAACAACAACTTAAAGAATTAACAATTTGCTACTGTTTCATGACATGCAAAATGAGCTGCCTCTGAGGTTCAGCCCTGAATGGAGGGATTTTTGTTTTTGGTGTTGTGTTTTAAGTGTGCAGGGCATCCACATCTGTGTTCTGTTGGATGCTCTGTCCAGCTGGTCTTGCTGGACCAGCTAAGATACTTTCAGATTTAAAAGAAATTCACACCATTCTTTTTGGAGGAATGTGGAGAAAGAATAGAGAAGATAATAAGAGAGGTCTCTATATAGGGTATGTTCCATGTTCCTGGCCCTTGGTCTGCCTTTGAGGGCAGCATTCTCCCCATGCAGGCACTACTAAAATTGTGGCCTCGCATTTGCAGCAAAAAAATGATTTCTTTGCAGAAAAAGCACATTGTTTGCAAGCATCATCTCACACATAGGAGGCTTCTGAATACAAACAATCAAGCAGGAAAAAAAATCGCCAATTATGTGTGCAACTTTTTTTTCAGGCTGTAACTGCAAATTTGGCCTCAGCAAGAGCAATGCTGGGTGGGACCCAGCAACTGTTGAGGAGTTCACATGAAACTCAGTCTTGGTCTGTCTGATGGTTCAGGAAGGAAGAGGGTTTATGAAGGGAAGTGGGGAGTCCCAAATGATCTCGTAGGTGAAAGCTGGGAAATCTAATGGCTTTCTAGGACTAGATGTTGGCATTGCTCCCAGAGCACCAGAAACTGAGGAAGGCACTGCTTGCTTTTGGGAAACTGAGGTTAAGTGCAGAAACAATGAACCTGGAATTCATTGGGACTTAATAGGAAACTGGTTTATACCAGGTCAGACAGAGCATCCATCCCGTTCAATAGTGTCTACTCTGAGTGGCAGCATCTAAGGGTTTCCAGCAGGGAGTAGATTTCCCAAAATCTGCCACCAGCCCCTTTTACCTGGAGCTACCAAGGACTGACCCTTCACTTGTTTGCATGCAAAGCATGTTCTTTGCTGCTCATCTGTTGAACCTCACTTAAAGCCCCCAGTTTACGTCTCTGCTAAGGCTGCTCTCCTGCTGCTGTCATTAATAATATTAACTTAGGATTGGTAGAGGGCTTATTTATTTCATTGCTGTACTGCCTTCCAGCCGAAGCTGTCTGGGTGATTGATGCAGTTCATAAAAACAGATGATAAAAGTGCAATAATGGCGTAATAGAATTGTTTGCATGATAATGGCAGCCCGACATGGCTTATTTAAGCATCAGTGGGTTCTAGCATAGGCCAGCATCCATGTGGAGTATTCCCACCTTGGGGCGGGGTTGCCGTGGTTTGTCGTGTCATCCAGACCCAGGCAATGTGGCTTGTTGGAGCGAGAAACAACAGGCTGTGCGTTATTGGAAGGTGTTTTCTTCCTCCAACAAGCAAGGCTGCCTGGGTTCAGCCAACACAAGGAGCTGCTGTTGGGACTTGAAGAGGCAGGATGGCAGCCGTGTGACTTCGTGGCTTCAATAAGCCACAGTGGGTAGCCATGATCATGCAAAGTGGATCTGTTATGCAAAAAACCTTGAGGGCTTGGGACAAACTCTTTCGCTTCTTTCAGGACCTCCTGACTTTTGAGGATGTGGCCCTATATTTCACGGAGGGGCAGTGGGCTCTGCTGAATTTGAATCAAAGAGCTTTATATTGGGAAGTCATGCAAGAGAATTATGATAACATGGCCTCCTTGGGTAAGGATCTCTTTTCCCACTCTTTTGACAGAAATGGTGAGGGTCATAATTGTGACTCTTAGTGTTTAAAGTTTGCTGCAAGGGAGTCTTTGGAAGAAGTGGAGGTTGTTCCTTGGGAAAGAGATGGCTTTGAAATAAAAAACTTGTTTTCTCCAGACCTCTGTGACTTGCACTTCCCTTCCCAGCTTTCCAAATCTTAGGCATTTCTGATGATGGATCAACATTTGCAGAATCATGCAGGGTTCCACCTAGTCTGGCATTTTGTTTCTTAAACATATAGCCAGTTATCTCCAGAAAGCCCACAGGCAAAGTTTAAAGGCAATAATGTTGCCTGACAGTCCTCTTCCCCAGGTTGATGCCCTCCAGATGCATTGACTGCAATTCCCATCACCCACTGGCCATGCTGAGTAGGGATGGTGGGAACTGTAGTCCAACAATGGGAGGGGTACTGGTTGGAGAGAGATGTTCTGGAGTGACTGGTTTTCAGACTTATACTGTACCTGCGTGATTTGGGGACCTGATGGAAATGTCCCATGAAATGGTTTGGTCCTGTTTTAAAGGTATTTGTGCTAGAGGCCACCCCATATCATGTGGTGATGAATTCTATTAATGATGTCTTGCATAAAGAAATACTTTCTTTTCTCTGTCCTAAATAATAGGTTTAACTGCATGAATATTGTTTTTCTTGGGGCAGCGACCAAATCTGCGCATGGTTTTCCAAGAGTGGTCATACCAAAGATTTGTCTCAATAATACAGAGCTCCATGCTTCAAAATCTACCTTAAACCTGAATACTGTTTGTTTGTTTTTAATTCTTGAGCAGGGCTCCCCCTCATCAAACCTGATTTGATTTCCTGGCTCGAGCAAGACCCATGGCTTCGGGGTCAGAAAATCTTGGAATACAACACAGGTGAGGGAACCAAAATCCAACTTGTAAGAATTAGGTATTTGCATTCAGCCTTTTATAGATGCACAGAATTTTATGTGGGCCTTTCCTGGGCCAGTGGGTCAGTCCATCCCTCTTAATCCTGCTTTCTTCTGTTCAGGGTTTCCTGATGTGATAATAAAGTTGGAAAAAGAAGAGCCATGGGGTCTTTCTCAGGAAGGGTCTGAGATTTTCCCAGGTATAATCTCAGGTGAGGCATGGGCTATACAAGTGTTCATCTGCCTGTTGTTAATTTGTTGATGTTGTTAATAATATTATTACCGTACTAATGGGTGTTACTGTTGTCTGATCAGGGCCAATATCACAAGCATTGATTTGTGAACGATCACTCAGTTTTACACATCTTAAATTGCATGTAGTTATCAGTCTGCATTTTTCACATTTCACTTCCTTGGCGTCCACACACACTTTCTCTCTCTCTACTGGGGTGGGCAAGCTATGGCTGTTCAGATGTTTCAGTCTACAACTTCCAACACTGCTCACCATTGGCTAAACTGGCAGGACTGATGAGGAGTTGTGGGCCAAAACATCTGGAGGGCCACAAGTTGCCCACCTGTATTCTACAGTTATGTAGATATCCCAGCCAACAGAGGCAACAAACAATGAAGATGTGGCAGCTTTAAAGTTTAGTGTGTTTCATATGGCTTGAGCTTTCATGGACTAGAGTCCCTTTGTTGCATGCAGTGTTACCTTTGCTATCACTTCATGGCTTTGATGAAGTAGACTCCAGTCCCCGAAAGCTTCAGCCATAATAAATAGGTTAATTTTCAAGCTGCTGCCAGACTCTTAGACCTGATTTGCATGTGACAACAAGCCATTGCTTTAGAAGCAGATGAGCTCTCCTGCATGCCCCCCTTTTCTGCTCTTATTCCACAAGCCACCTATGAAAGAACCTATGGATCTTTCGTAGGTTGTGGAGCGTGATGCCTGAATCCAGACCACTGGGTTGTTTCCAGGCTAAACAACCCAGTGGTTAATACATGGTTTCTTCTTGGGTTGTTTAGACTCTAAATAACTAAGTGATCCAAGTTGGGTGTCATATTCTATAACCTAGGAAGGAGCCTATTCGAGTTTGTACGGTTAAGCAGGAAATGTGGGGACATGAGAGGCAGCATGCCTGCTTATGTGTGACAATCCAAAACTGATGGCTTGTCTTTACATATGAACAAAGCCTTTCATCTCTTGCTGCAAATATGGTAGCTTCAGCTATCCAGAGGTAGGGGTAAGGGGCAGCTCATTAGGGCTGGAGCCCTGAATCCCTGGGAGGCCATCTGTCCCACCACCCTTCACTTCTCCGTGGGAACTTGCTGAAATAAGGACATGGCATGGGGAACCTGGAGTGGTGAACCGTGAGCCCCCTAATGCTGAGCTTGGAAGCCCTTCCTGGCACTCTGCTGGAAGTCCAGCATCAGGAGGCTTGTGCCCCTCACTACTTCAAGTCCTGCAGTTTTTGTAAGCATTTGCATTCAGAATAATTCATTTTTCATAAAATGCCTCAGTGATTAAATTGGGGAAAGGGTTTTGTTTTGGTTTGGTTTGGGGTTTTTTGCCAACACAAATGTTCTAAGATAGACTGCTCCAGCCTGTTAGTTGATGAAACATGGCGGCCCTGCTGGTCACTCCACATGCCTCTTTCTTTGGGTTCAGGATTCCCGGACAGTGTAATGAAGCAGGAGCAGGAAGAGGAGCCTTGGAGGAAGGAATTGGTCCTGGGCTACCAAGGACCTGAGGAAGGCTCAGACATGGCCGATGGCCAGCCAGGTGAGGGAGCAATTCAACTAGTTTGGAGTTCACAGTCATGGCCCGTTCACAGGGACCTGCTGTATGTGGTCAGACTCTTTGTCCCTCCAGCTCCGGTATCCCCTGTGTGGACTACGAGCTCTGACATAATCCTTTTAGCTGAAAAGGCCATGGTTCAAACCCGGGGCCTTCGGTATGTGAAGTCAGTGCCCAGCCCCTGAGCTACAAGGGTCCTCCCTGAAATTTAACAGCATTTCTGCACTGCACTTTTCACCCTTAAGCAGTCGTGTGAACCTGGGAGCAGGAGCTCTTATGGCACACATGAGCTTTGGAAGCAGGCCACACAGTGCCTGGCCTGGCTACGGTTTTGTCCAGAGAGCTCTGGCTTGGAAAGTGCCGGACACTGGCAGGGCGATTGTCCACCGAGACGCACTGCACCTTCACGTGCTAGGGAGCACTGGCTCTCTCCCCTGCACCTTCCCGGGATTTCTACTCAGTGAAAGGAGAAGGTAGATAGATCGACCCACACAGTGATAATTTCATTTCAAAGAACACATTTTGAAGGATGAAGATAAATAAATACGAGCAGCTTCTTGTTTATTTATTATAAACAAGAAACTGCCCTTTTGGATCTCGGCAGTGGCGGCGGCAGCAGTGGAGCAGCAGAGGCCGGGGAAGTGCGGAGAGAGTGGCCAGAGAACTTGCGAAGGCAAGGTAGGAGCTTGGGCAGAGGATGGTGGGGGGCAGGAGGAGTGGAGAGGAAGGGAGGCGGGGCTAGAGAGGCCCAGAAGGAAGCAGAGGGGGTGGGGCCAGCAGCCTCTGAGGCTTATGAAGTTGTACTCAGCCGTTGGTGGCACCTGCAGACATGGCACCACTTGGTGACATGATGAGGCCATCATCCCTTGGTTGTGGTCCAGATTGCCCAGGGACTCCCTTCCCCAGAAACTTTGTCTTCACCAAGGAAGTGTGGTTCTCAGTTTCAGGCAAGGGTAGCATACTGCAGGCAAGAGAAGGGTGCAGAGGACAAGTAGAAACTAGGCTTTCTGCAGGGTGGCCTATCTGAGGCCAGGAGATAGCTATGGCAGGAGTGGTAGGCGTGATGGTTCCCCACAACTCCTGTGCAATGTTTGTCTTCCTCCCCACAGGAGGAGGTGGGATATGCTTGCACTAAGTGCAAGCTGGTGTCCAAGCTGGTGTCCTTTCTGGAGGAAAAGGTGAAGGGTCTGGAGAACGCCATCACCTCCCCCAGGGAGATAAGAGAGGGGGAACAGTTCCTGGACTTTGCCCAGGAGGTCCTCCAGGCCAACCAGCAGCAGCCCCTTTCCAGGCAGAATGAAGAGGAAGGGGCCACCAGGGAATCAGCTGGGGAGAGGTAGAGGCATGTCACCCTCAGGAGGCGGAGGCTGGCACCATGCCCTCCATCTCCAGGCACTGATTTGAAGCTGAGAAATATTTTCTCCGCTTGAACAGACAGGGGCTGCAGGTTCCTTGGGGGACTGGACTGTTCGAGAAGCCTGGCCTGAGGTCAGTTGTGGACAGGAGGCTGCTGTTGTAGATCTGGGGTCAAGGTATGGCTCCCAATCTCTACTGGACAGGCGAGAGGAAGGTAGGGGACTCTAAGGGGTACCAAGGTGGCAGTGTAGGGGCAAGGGAGGTCTGCTGGGCGCATGCATCTGGCATGTGGCGGACAGACTAGTGCGTCCTCTTCCCTCGGGAGTCATCAGTCGCTTCTGGTGATCCACGTGGGGACCAACGGCACAGCCAGGCAGGGGTTGGGTGGGACCACTTGGGACTTTGAAGCTCTGGGCAAGAGACTCAAGGACCTGAAGATTCAGGTGGCCTTTTCCTCGCTCTTGCCTGTCTGTGGACATGGGCTGCCCAGGGAGAGATGAATGACTGAGGGTCGGGTGCCAGAAGGAACACTTCAGGTTCCTTGTCCACAGCAACTGGTTCCTCATCAATGGACATCTGGCAAGGGACAGGATGCATAATGGAAGACTTCGGCTTCCTCGATATTAGTTGCAAGATGGCCACTGCTAGGTCCCATCACTTCCTAGAAGCTATGGGGAAGGGTTTTTCACCTGGAGGTCCTAGAGGCAACAAGCGGGGAGGGGGGAACATCCTAGACTTGGTTCTGGCCAACAGGGAGGATCTGGTGAATGATGTGCAGATTGGGGGAGCTCTGGATGGGAGTGACCATTCCATCCTAGGCTTTGAGATCAGGGGAATGGGGATTAGCGGTGGGACAAGTCCGCTACGTATGAACTTTCAAAGATGCGAACGTGCGTTCGCATGTCCAGTCACCTAAGTTAGTTCACGTGTCTGGCATATATTGTCACATCCATGCTTCCTTTACAAGTGGTTGTGCTTTTGTGTACTTTACTGTACAGTACTGTATAGGGTACAGTAGTACAGTATCTTTATTTCAAGCCCAGGATGTCCAGAAGCAAGCATAAAGGCAGTGGTGATGTAGCTGGTTCTGCTAAGAAGCGCCAGGCGATAACGATGGAAACAAAAGTGAAAATAATTGAGAGAGTGGAGCGAGGCGAAAAGATGATCGATGTCGCTCGTTCTTATAACATGAATCGTTCAACCATCAGCACAATTCTAAAGAACAAGGACAAGATCATGGAACATGTGAAGTCTGCTGTGCCGATGCTATCGACAATAATATCAAAGAAGCGTGGAAAGGTGATGGAGGAGATGGAGAAGCATCTCAGTGTGTGGATGCAGGATCAGCATCAGCATCGGGTCCCGCTCAGCCTAATGCTGATTCAAGAGAAAGCTAAAACCCTTTATGAAGACTTGAAGAAGAAACACGGCAAAGAATCAGAGGGTGCCTCTTTTCATGCCAGCCATGGCTGGTTTCATCGGTTCAAGGCTAGAGCCAACCTTCACAACATAAAAGTAAGTGGCAAGGCAGCCAGTGCAGATACAGTAGCTGCCCAGGAATTTCCTGAAATGCTTCGAGAAATTATTGATGAAGGTGCTTATTTACCTGAGCAGGTTTTTAATGTGGATGAGACAGAACTGTACTGGAAGAGGATGCCAGACCGAAGCTACATCAGTAAGGAGGAAAAGTTGACACCAGGCTATAAAGCAACAAAGGATAGGCTAACTCTGTTGTTTGGTGGCAATGCTTCTGGTGATAAAAAGCTGAAGCCTCTGTTAGTGTATCATTCAGAAAACCCAAGAGCCCTTAAAAACATAACCAAGGGCTCTCTTCCTGTTGTGTGGAGGAGTTACCCCAAAGCATGGGTTACACAGACCATTTTCCAGGACTGGTTTTTCCACCACTTCATCCCAGAGGTAGAGAAATATTGCTTGGAGAAAGACATCCCATTCAACATTCTGTTGCTGCTTGACAGTGCTCCAGGCCACCCCCCATTCATGGATGACTTTCATCCCAACATCAAAGTAGTGCCTCTGCCACCGAATACTACGTCACTCATCCAACCTATGGACCAGGGCGTTATAGCGACTTTCAAGAAATATTATTTACGTCACACTTTTCGTCAGGCAGTACAGGCGAGTGACGAATCAGGAACAACCTTGCGACAATTTTGGAAGGACTATAACATCTACAAGGCTATAAAAAACATTGACTTGGCTTGGCGTGAGGTTACGGCTATTACCATGAATGGGGTTTGGAAGAACCTTTGCCCGCAGTTTGTTCGTGACTTTTGTGGATTTGAGAAGATGGATGAGGAGTCCAAAGAGGTCTTCAGCGACTTAGTGACCCTCAGCAAGAAGCTGGAGCTAGATCTGCAAGAGAATGATTTCATTGAACTCCTTGCAGTGCAACACGAGGAGCTTACTAATGAAGACCTGATGGAGTTGGAGGACCGGAGAAAGGATGAAGAGAGGCAAGAGGAAGAAGAAGTAACCGAAAAACCGAAGAGATTCACAATGCAGGAAATGGCAAGGGGATTTTCTTTATTTGAGGAGGCACTGTTAGTTTTTGAGGCACAGGACCCGAACGTAGAACGGTATATGAGGGTTGCAGCAGCTGTTCAGAATGCAATCCAGGGCTACCGTGTCATCTATGACGAGAAAAAAAGAGCTAGTACCCAGACATAGTTTTTTCAAGAGGGTAGATAGAATTGAATCTAGCAAGGAACCAGAGCCTGTGCCATCAATGTCAGGCATGAGTGAAATGGCAGCTTGCCCTCCATTTCCTATGGCTGACGATTCTTCAGCTCTGCCATCTCCCACCTCCTCTCCCTCCTCCAGTCAGTAACTCTTCTTAGCTGTTCATTCAATGCCAGTAGGCCAGCTGTTGTACTGTACTGTACTACTGTACTTTTCAAAGTACTGTAAGATTAAAAATGTTTTCTTTATTTTTTGTGTCTGTTTGCTTTTTATTGGTTATTTACATGAAAAGAATTATAAACCTATTACAGTACAGTCTTGTATAGCTGATTCTGTTAGTTGGGTACCTAGGCTAACTTTGTTGGAGTTATGAACAAATTGGACTTACGAATGCCCTCTCAGAATGGAACTTGTTCATATGTAGGGGACTTACTGTACTAGGAGTTCGGACTTCTTGAGGGCCAGCTTCAGTCAAATGAAGGGCCGGCTGGGGGAAATCTCCTGGGAGAGGGTACTGGAAGGCAAGGGAGTTCAGGAGGGGTGGATGTCTCTAAAAAGGGAGGTCTCAGAGGCGCAAGCCTTAACGATACTGCTGATTAGCAAAGTGGGGAGGTGTAGGAGGACACCGCTGTGGAAGCAAGGAGAGATGCTAAGAGGGATTAGAAGGAAGAGGAACCTCCATAGGAGATAGGCACTGGGGCAAGTAGACAAAAGGGTTTGCAGGAGGTGGCGGTGTGATGCAGAAGGATTCTTTGTACGGTTAAGGCTGATCATGAGCTGGGACTTGTGAAATATGTCAAGAGCAATAAAAAGGGCCTCTACCTTCATGTTAATAGAAAAAGGAAGGGAAGACAGGTGGTGGGACTACTTAAAAGGGAGGAAGTGGATCTGGTAACTTATGTAAGGGAACAGGCACAGATGTTAAATGATTATTTTGCTTCTGTGTTCTCCCCAGAGTGGGTTGGGGGAGATCTACCTGGGGGGGCTAGATGAGGTTGGGGTTATGGGGGCACAGATTGCAGTCACCTTCCTAGAAGTTGAAGAGCTCCTCAGGACCCTGGATGTTACAAAGGCACTGGGCACCTGAGGGTAATTTGGGAATTGGCAGGGATACTCTCATGTCCGTTGGCCTTCATTTTTGAGGCCTCATGAAAAACGGAAGAAGTTCGAGAGGACTGGAGGGTGGCGTCAGTGGTTCCAGTATTCAAAAATGGTAGCAGAGGGGATATGGGGAATTACAGGCCAGTTAGCCTTATGTCCATTCTGGGAAAGATGATGGAAAGGCTCATAATAGGGAAAGCTCTAGAAACCCTAGGTAGGGAAGGGAGGTTGGCAGCTATGCAGCATGGATTCCATAAAAACAGAACCTACCAGACGAACCTTGCGGAATTCTATGATAAGGTCTCAAGGTGGCTAGATGGAGGGGATGCGGTGGATATGGTTAACCTGGATTTCAGCAAGTGTTTGACAAAGTGTTGCATGATATGCTTATCAAGAAATTGTAGAGCTTTGGGAAAGATCAATGCACTGTCCGATGAATTAGGTCATGGTTAATGGACTGCAAGCAGAGGGTGACTATCAGTGGGGAATCATCAGGGTGGCAGCTGGTGATGAGCGGAGTCTTTCAGGGCTCAGTTCTAGGACTGATTCTGTTCAACCTTTTTATCAATGACCTGGAGGAAGGGATAAGCAGTCTGCTGACTAAATTCACAGAAGATACCAAAGTGGAGACGGTGGCTATAACTGAGGAGGAGGTGATCCCGATCCATAAGGATCTGGACAGGCTGTGGAAGTGGGTGGGGGACAACAGGATGGCGTTCATTGTGGATAAGTGCAAGGTCTTGCACTTGGGGCATAGGAATGGGTGTCATAAGTACAGGTTAGGGGACAAGTGGCTGGAGAGCAGCACTTGTGAAAGGGACCTCGGGGTGCTGGTTGTCTGCAGGCTGAACATGAGCCCAGTGTGAGAAGGTAAACACCACCCTTGGACTTATAGCCAGAAGTGTGGCTTCCAGATCTAGGGAGGTGTTGATACTGCTCTACATGACTTTGGTGTGCCCACAACTGGAGTACAGTGTCCACTTCTAGAATCCGCATTACAGGAGAGACATAGCTAGGATAGAATTGGTTCAATGCATGGTCACAAGAATGGTAGCCGGGTCGGGAGGGATGACATATGAGGAGCGATTAGGGAATTGGGTCTTTTCAGCCTGGAGAAGAGGAGACTCCAAGGGGATCTTTTAGTTACTTATAGGTATGTGAGGGGATGTCATCTGGAGGAGGGAGGTGACAGTGGCAGGATGGAGGGCAGGATACTTTCCAATGGGGTAAAGCTCAAAGAACCAGGCTTTAGGTTGGATGTCAGGAAGTACTTCCCTCATCAGTGAGGGTGTTCAAGAAAAGATTGGACAACCACATTTTGGGGATTATATGAATGGAGCCAGTTGGAGCTGGGTGTCAAACTACAAGGCTCAGGAGGCCTCTTCTAACTCTATTTGTTTCTATGTTTCTGCTACATTTATATTGTGCCTTCTTGCCTGGAAAGAATCCACAAATCCAGAACAGGAATTGCCCCCTCCATCTTACCCTTGTCCTTCTTACAAACATATATATCCCACAACATTACAAGTTCATATCAGTAATTTTTCCAAAACTGACCTTTGGATTCTTAGGTAACAACATGACAAAGTTCACACATCACAGCAAAGAGCCCTGCAGTCTCTGTGGCTCACAGGTTTTTGCCTGGACCTAATGATCTGAAGGTTGCATGGTTTCTAGTGTTTCCCACCCCATCTCCACTCTCTTGCCACCACCCCAGCAGTCCTCATGAGCAAAATCCACTTCTATGTGGCATTGTTCCCTGTTGGCTTCAGCTGCCTCTTCTTGATTGGTCTGCTGAGGTTTTGAGTTGGGTTCTCTTCCCAAGTGTACGCCCATCTCTGCAACACTTCCTAGCCACGCCAGCCCCTAAAGGGTTTTCTGTGAAATTAAAATAAACCCTTTTGCCATGATCCTTCCTCTGTGTATTCACCCACCTTTCCCCTGTTTCATAGCATAAACAGGATGATGGGTGCATCACTCAGCCAATAGGAACAAAGCAACTGATGATGTGTTTTGCTAAAGATCAGATGCCTAGAGTGACCCTTTCCTGTTGGCATTCTTTCTATGGGACTCTATGGTATTTCTTCACTACCAGTGCTAAAATGGAGCTTGCAGGTCCAGATGTCACAAAAAAATCATGGTGAGGCATGGAAACTTTTCAGAAAACTGTTGTTTCTCTCTGTGGTTTCTGGAAACTGAATGCATCACACTGAAACATCATGATTGGCTTCTGACAACATGACAGGCCAACAAAAAATCACCATGACTTCTCATGACATGTGAACTCAGCCAAGGTGGTAACACCTGTTCACTTAAGGTGAGTTCTCAATGACCCTAAGCAGACCCAGCTCTCAAAATTTGTTAATGAAACTGGGTGGTCCAAAACTTTCTAGACGTCTGTATATCAAGTTGTTTAGTGTTTATACAGGTGTTTTTACTCATCAATAAACAAAAGCTTAACAACACTTTTGATTTTGAATATTACAGGCCCACTCCTTTTCACTGTCCCCCTCCAAAATTATTTGACCTAAGCAATAAGGCATTGAGTTGGCATTCCATCTATAGATATTATCCAGCCCACCTTAATTTGGGTTGCTAGATGCCCAGAATTCATTGTCAACCAGTTTGTGTCTGTTTGTGTCCCTTTAATGCAATCACTATTTTTAATTATTCATCCCTCTTCAGTCTTTTAATTTTTTTCTGAAAAAGTTTTTGGCTGACAAACAGGATAACAATACTTTAAATAAATATAAATGAAATAGACTTTCAATGGTTGATCACTTTGCATTTCATAGAAAACCACCTTGCTTTGAAAGATCAGGGCTAGTGATTTTTCAGTAATCTGCCTAGCAATTCCAGTGAAGCTAAATCAGGTGTTCTCTTAAAACCTGTGACAACTTGACCTCCCTCTCTTACTTGGTTCTCTTAATCAGGGTTTCCAGGTGTTATAATAGAGGTGGGACCTAAAGAGGAGCAATTGAATCCAAATTCCCAAGCACCTGAGGACAGCATAACTGCCGTCAGTATCCGAGGTAAGGGTTTGTGTAACTCACGGTCCACAGTCCATAAATTTTGAATTAATTGGATTGCTGTTTACAGCAATTCTAGTAACAGAGAGATTTCATGATATTTTGAGGCCGCAATGATTAAGAACATAAGACTGGCCCTAGATCAGACCAATGGCTTATCCAGTCCAGCATTCTGCTTACAGAGTGGCTAACCAGCTCCCTGAGAAAACGTGAAGCAGGAGCAAGTGCAGCAGCACCTCCGACGCTTGTTCCCCAGCATTCACAGCCATACTCCCACCAATACTGCGGGAAGCAGAGAGCCATTAGGACTAGCAGCCCCGTGTAAAGGTTTCATGTTGCTGCTCTTCAGTATGGCTGCTTGGAAACACCTATCATTCCCATTTCCACAACTCAGTCACAACCTGTTGTTGTTGTTAGTCGTGAAGTCGTGTCCGACCCATCGCGACCCCATGGACAACATTCGTCCAGGCCTTCCTGTCCTCCACCATCCCCCAGAGTCCACCCAAGCCCACACCGACTGCTTCAGTGACTCCATCTAGCCACCTCATCCTCTGCCATCCCCTTCTTCTTTTGCCATCTATTGTTCCTTCTCATTAGGTGGCCAAAGTATTTGAGTTTCATCTTCAGTATCTGGCCTTCTAAAGAGCAGTCAGGGTTGATCTCCTCTAGGACTGACCGGTTTGATCGCCTTGCGGTCCAAGGGACTCGCAGGAGTCTCCTCCAGCACCACAATTCAAAGGGCTCAATCCTTCGGCGCTCAGCCTTCCCTATGGTCCAACTTTCACAGCCATACATTGCAACTGGGAAAACCATAGCCTTGACTATACGCACTTTTGTTGGCAGGGTGATGTCTCTGCTTTTTAGTATGCTGTCTAGATTTGCCATAGCTTTCCTCCCCAGGAGCAAGCGTCTTTTAA